CGCACACAAGGTGTGCGTTTTGGGGTTCAAACCCCCCCCTAAAGCTAATAACCTCAAATGCAAACTGTATCTTAAATCTAAGAATCCAGCTCTCAAGGAAATTATAAGAAATACTTATTATAATTTCTGTTGCTTGAAAAAGAGCTTTGCTTTTGCTGTAAATTTTCATGAGTAAATGAATATACGAGCTTTTTTTTCTTGAGAGCTGTAAACTGATTTAAGAAATTTTGGTAGAAGAAAATTTCTTTTCATTTCTCGTCCGTCGTTTTATATGAATTTTTGGTTTTTCTTGAGAGTTCAGTTAATTTTTTCGGTATTCGAAATATTAAAAAAAAATTAGAAATCGTGAAAAATCACCATCTCTATCGAAAGCCAGAAACCAGAAATCGAAAAAGGAACATAAAAGTGCAAGAATTAATGGAATCAATAAATTTATTTTTACTGAGTCTTATTTAAAATTTTTTCTTAGGTACTTTTGAAAGTTGAGCGCATCTTGAGTTTATAGCACTTTTTATTAAACAAGTAGTTTTTAAGGAAAGAACACAACGGGCTTCAATTCTTATATTCAAATTTAGGGGTACCGTTGATTTCTTCATGATCCAATCATCGGATCTCTAAACCAAATTACGGGACGAACCTTGAGGTACCATCTTTCTACAAAAAAGTGATTATTGAAATCGGTTCACGTGGTCCAAAGTTACGTATTCCGGCGAATTGATAACCTCCCCTTTTTTTTAAAGTCGGTTAAAAGTGTTTGAGTTCTGTTAATCTTATGTAAATAAAGTGCAGTTTATGAATTTTAAAAGTTTATTTATTTATTACAAACTGTACATAAAACTTGCATAAATATATTTTAAAGAGCGTATTATCTGAAGAAAATTTTCAGTATTTTCCGGTGATATATCTTCAGAAATATAAAACCCCCCTAAAATATATTCCTGGGTGCGCCCCTGCTCGTAAATATATTTTTTTCCAATTTAGTGAGGTAGTTTCTATAATTTCTTTATCCCCGTGCTAGTAGTATAAAGTTAGTGACACTGCGCTTATAGCCAAAGAAAACACGACTATTGTCGCATGTGTAAACGAAAAGAGAGTGTGGGTCGTTCATGTAACAGAGTGCATAAACTAATAAGCAAGGCGAATTTATATAAGGTGGTGTTACTAGATCAGCTGATTTTGTGTATGTGTTTCGCCTCACGGCTTCTAATGTCAAATTGAAAAATTTTGTTTGAATTTCCACACACACACTTACAGATTTTGGCAGTTTATGCCGCCAAAGCAAAAACAAAATACATGTAAATTTTTGTTTTTGTTCTCCTGCTATCACCTTATATTAATTCGCCTTGCTAATAAGATTATCTGCTTGATAAAGTTATCGGTTTAGATGAATACCACTAAAATAAAAGTGTGTAAAGTATTAAGTACAGTGTTATGTGCATTTATCAAGAACCATGTGCATTTATATAAATGAAAGTATGTGACAAATGCACTTTTTGTTAAGGATACCAAGTGGAACGGTTTAAAAAGTTTTAACAACAAATAACTTATAAACAATGATATTGTTTATATTTTATAGTTGTACATGTTTTAGAGGATACCTCCCTTAACATCTTGACCAAGTTTCATTTGTTAATTCCACCTGGTTTTTTAAAACACAAGGTGCGGCTGACTACTAAAGCCCCCCTTTTTGATCCAAAGAACCGATACCAAACTTTCTTGATTTCTAACGAAAAGTATCGAGTATGTACTTGTTTCATTCCTAGTTACAATATATCAATTAAACGCGTTCATTGCATTAAAATTGTGCATTGCTATGGATAAAAAATTTAAAAGCAGCTCGCGCGTTAGAAACAATGCAAAGGCAAGTGTCATTATTGTGACTATGGTGCAAACGCCAGCTATTCATTTCATCCCGCAATCCAGGATGTGCAGGTTTGGTAGTAGTGCACTTTGGCGAAGGTAGGACAAAATGGACGGAAAAAGTTCGAGCGTGGTATAAATCGACGCGTCTTAACGCCAATAATAACAATCGGAGACCGGAAATTAACATTTTTAATTAATTAATGAGTTATTTGCAAAAAACACTGGCATACATCAAGATAACCAACCGTTCAGCTATAGAAAAACTAAAAATGCAGATTGCTAGTACTTTTTACGCTGATTTTGGGTACTGTTTAGTAAGTGGCCCACCTATTTCGGGGTATTGCGTCCAAAGGGGTGACCCGATCCAAAAAAATTGCACACACTTGTAGCCAAGGGTCTACCCATTATTTTGATATCCACAATTGTAATTTTGGGTCACTAATTTATTTACAAATTGGGTTTGAAATATGCCCTTTTTTGTAAAATTCGGAAATTAGCGTAAATTTATCACTCCTATTCTCCTTAAAGCAGCTACATCAGCAATATATTTTTATATTCTCCTTCACTTTACACTTTACTCGATGAGCTATAACTTTCTTTATAACTTTAATATTAACCAATTAAACACAATTTATTAAATAAAAACACCTTCTAAATCATGCGTCTGACTTTTGTTGCATATGCAAATTAAATGGCGTAGTTCAGCTGTCAAACTCCAAAATATGCAAAAGAATGAGAGACAAAAGAAAATAGGATATAACCCTGTAAGCATCAAAAATATACAAAGGTGTTCTCTGTAAAAGGTATTCAGCTCCTTTTCTTCGCAAAACAGAAAGGAGAATTCTACTGCCTGAGGGTTATAATCCCTAAGTGCGGCC